GCTTTCCTTTGCATGTGATTTATTTCTTTTTCCTAACAGCTTGTAGTATTTTGTTCTTCTGGTGGGTTTCCAGTGTCTTGATTATTGTATATCGATGTGTACATTTTTTTATCATGGCTAGTTGGAGTCCTATATGCCTCACTTATCTGTATGTCAAGTTCTTTTGCTCTGTTTGGGAAGTTTTCTGTCATTAATTCTGTGAACAGTTTTTTAGGTCATTTGTACTTTCTCCTGCTTTTTCATGGACTCGTATCAGTCTGATTCTTCTTTGTATCATACAGGAGCTGTTGGATTGATTTCTCATGTTCTCTTACTATTTTTAAGAGATCCTTCTTTTCATGGTCACTGATCTCCATCCTATCTTCTATATCTGATATCCTGTCCTCACATTGGCTCAGTCTGTTATGCAAACTTTCAACAGAGTTTTTAATCTCCTGGATATCTGTTTGAATCTGTTTCATAGATCCTTTCTTAAGTTGTATACTCATGATTTCCATTTCTTTGCTATGCTGGGCATTCATGGCTTCTATCATGGTCCTGAGCTCATGTATTTTTTATCTGTTTCTGTTCTAGAGTTTCTAATCATGTCACTCATTCTGCTCACCACCTCTGTAGTTATCTGGGCAATGATTTCTGTTTTGAATTTTTCTAGAACCTCATTCATCTGTTTTGTTATTTCCTGTGCTATCAGTTCAGGATGTCCTGGTGGTTGGTTATCAGACTTTTCCACCTCATTTCCCACAGAATTTTTCTTTGGTAAGTGGGAAGTCTGTGTTTGTGCTTGAGCCTTGTTTGAATGTCTTCCCATTTCTATTTTTATTGTTAGTACTGTCCTTGGTTTGATACCTGGGTTAATACTTCGATCTTCCTGTTATAGCTTGTCTTTAGGTTTTGAGTCTCTAATAACTCCGAGGCAATCTCTTTTTCATTATACCAGGGAGGACAACTGATTAGATCAATCACATCTTAGTCCAAGTGATACATTCAGCAGTACAAAAACTCAAGGACAGTTTAGAAAATGACAATTTGGGGTAGTTATTAATCTATTACCTTTAACTATGTGAATTAAATCAAAATCAAGGCTAGAGCTCAGAACAATAGCCTTTATGATCTCCTGTGCTTCTCTGGTGTGAATCCAGGTACCAGCACAGCCAGGAGTCTTGAGCTGCACAGAGGTCAGGCAGTTAGGATGCAAGCTGTAGGCCAGCTCCAGGCAGTTCCACCTCTTACTGGTCTGCTGCTGAGGTCAGCCAGACCTTCTTTAACATTTAATAAAAATTTTATACAATAATTTTTTTCTGTATTTTACATAAGATAGCCACTAACAGATATTTACATAGATTAGAAGGAAGATAAACAGTTAAGGAGGACCCAGTCCTGTGGGATATTTTCTCTGAGCATAAAAGTCAGAGTTCAGTTGGGGGAAAGGATTTAGGCTGTCAGATTAAGTGGTTGCTGATAAAAGCTAAAATGCTGGCCTTTGTGTAGATAACCAGACACTATGACCATCAATATTTAAAAGGTGCCATTCTTTCTAGTCATCTATGTGGATTCTTGCCCCTGACTTGAGAAATACCATTCCAAAGATGTCTTTCCCATTAGGCAAAGTCTCAAACATTCATTCAGTACTAGACATAGGGATGGCCTCTCCTCCTTGTCCGGAATAGGAGGAAACCCACAACTTTTGGGCACTACTGACCCAATCTCCCCAATTTTAATCCTTATTTTCACTTTCAGTTTCTCACACCAGAGACACAATGCAGCACTCAAACATGTGTGTCCAATTTATTTCACTTATGAGTACGGTCTCAAAGTCCATCCATTTAGCTATAAATATCTAAAGCTCATCCTCCTTTATGGTAGAGTAGTATTCCATTGCTAAAAATATCTTCTTTATCCTCTTCTTTTTTCTTTCTTAAGCTTTTTGGAATATGAACATGTTGCAGAGGAATCACCACAGGTCGTGTTCAAAGCCCAAAAATCCTCAGAGTTTCCTTCAATTTAAATTGTGCCAACAGGCATCTATGGAAACTGCTGGAAGCCACATGCTTCTACTAATTTCCCTTCCCAACTATTTGTTAGTGAATTGGATATACAAGAGGAGCAGTAGCTTAGCTCTTCTATTTCAGACTTGAAATTGTGCTAAAAGACCTTTCAATGGCAGAGCAGGAAAAAAGCTATGGATGTTGTCCCTGGCCATTGACCTCTAGCCTACACAGACCCCCTTTAAATTCTGGGGTCTTGGGTGACAGCCATGAAGTTTCAAATCATCACGCTCATTGAGAAAGTTATGAACAGATCCAGCCCATGTCATACTGCTACAGTAGAACCCACAAACACACAGGAAGCCCTGAGCTTGTCCTCAAAAAGAGGATCATAAAATTCCTGCCAGAGCATAATTCAGGAAGAGAACTATAAGATGAGCACTTAACAAAAACTTGTATCTCAGATTTAGCAATGTGATTTCCTTTATACCATACATATCAATAGCATTTTTATTTTTAGCATAAATTTTATTGCAGTAGAATGCACTTACTAAAAAAGCAAATGAGTATTAATTACATATATAGCTCAATGGATTTTTCACAAAGGGAAGTCCACAAAGAAAATAGAAGTAGAACCTTACCAGCTCTGCAAAATCCCTCTTCCTGTCCCCTTCCGTGCACTACCCTGCCTCTAAGAGTAACTACTAACAACACAATTTGATACGTTTGGGGATTTTTTTAACTTTATAGAAATAGAATCATAAAATATGTCCTGTGTTGTTTGTTTTTCCTTTGTTTAGCATAGTGTTTATATTGTTCATCTATGTATTTGCAAGCTCCAGCAGGTCACTCAGAGGGTAATGTCATGTCATAAATCATACAGCTGTCATATAATTTCCCATTTTACAATAAATAGAGGCTCTTGGAATTCTTTTCTGGGTTATGATGACTAGAACTTATTTTTATGAATATATGCAGGCATTTCCATTGGGTACAACCTAGAAGTGAAGTAGCAGCCTGTTTTAATTATAGTTTCTAGTAATAGTCGGCCTTAGAATTTGCATCCCTAATTTCAAAATCCAAAATCCTCCAAATTCTAAAGCTGTTCAAGCAATAACATGACACCATAAGTGGAAAAGTCACACTCAATCTCATGTGATGAGCCATAGTTAAAATATGGACACAATAAAATACTGTGCAAAACTATCTTTAAGCTGTTTCTATAGAGCATATTCTCTAAGATACATAAGATTCATAAGTGAATTTTACATTTGAACTTGTGTCCCTTCTCTAAGACAACTTATTATGTATATGCAATTATTAGGAAATTCAAAAAAATCCAAAATCTGAAACATTTCTGGTCTCAAGCTTCTTGGATAATGGGTGCTCAACTTGTCCCTAGTAGTGACAACACAAACATTAAGTGCAATAGTAAATCTAATGATGTTTTAAAAAAAATCCAATGTTGTAGTACTAGATGATCATATTAATTAGATGATCTAGATTAATTAAATAGATGAGTGGATTAAATTACCATAGTAATCATATTAAATATTAATTTCTATTAATATTTTAATATATAAACATGTTTATGGTATTACATTTATGCAATTGTATATTAGAAAAAGAAATATATATGTCTACTTCTAGTTACATTATTAGCTACTTGCTCTTAATTAGCTTGAATATTTCACATTTTATAATGTACTTTGATGTATGGTTTTTTCATACTGACAAAAATTCAAATTTTGCAAATAATGGTTGTGTTTGTTTCACTATTGGAAGGAAAATATCAACAAAAGATGTTTAAACGTGATTATTTATTTTATAAAATTTAAGCACAACTTAACCTACAGATGTTCAGTTAATAAACCCATTTCCAAAGGATGTGAAACATCCTATGAAGTGATACGTCAAGAGCTTGAAAGTTACTGGAGTACTGAAGGTAGATAAGGGAGAGAAATGGTGTTTAACATCATCTCCAAAGGAAGCACTCCAGCTTCTAACTCACTCCACTAACTCTTCTCCACTCTAGCCTCTGATTGATTGCATTCAAAGCATCATGCTTAGCTCCCATTTAAAAACTTTTAGAAAACCACTTTCTAAAAAACTCATACTGTTTCAATGCTCAAAGTAGACTTATAAGTGATACAATCTAGATTAAGTCCTCTGACAAAGTATTTAAAAGCATAGCAGCAACAATGAGCCAGGACTGGTCCCAAGTATGCACCATCCAAGTGTGCCGGTCCCAGTTCAAAGCTTTTCTCAGATAATCTCATTCACCTGTTTTGGACAGAGAAATTTTTTCTCTTGTATTTAAAACTAAATTATTTCTCATGATATTTTTGCTGGTTTCCATTTGTTCTTCTGGTAGAAATGGTAAATGTTTGATAGGAATATATCTCAAAAAAATCTTAAAGTCTCTCTCACTGGGATACAGTTTCTACTATTTCCTGAAACGTGATATTCAGCAAGAATATGGTTCTAAGAAAAAGAAGGTGTGGGTAGATAAGTTAACCTCTTTAAAAGCTTAAGAAAATATAGATGTTTATATTTATGATTTGGAAATTATGGCACAAAAAAAAACCTTTTCTTATAGATATATTTTCAGTCTTGCTTGCTTAAGAAAATATAGATGTTTATATTTATGATTTGGAAATTATGGCACAAAAAAAAAACCTTTTCTTATAGATATATTTTCCCAGTCTTGCTTCTGAATTCTTTCTTTCTTATTTTATTTTAAAAAATGATGAATCATTGGAGAATTGAATTAAATAATGAAGTGAGGGAGATGGCAACACCATCAAAAACATAGTACATTCCAGTTCCGGCTCCCCAGGACTACATCTAAGAATTTTTCCATTAATTAACTACTCTGTTTTAGTTTTCTCCAACATGGAAACAAATTAGGTAATTTCTCACTCCCAGTGGAAAATAATATGAATACATGGGAAATATTTGAGAACAGTCTACTGGAAAATGGAGTGATGTCAACCTGTAACTTTATTTTTGGATTTTAGAAGCTCTGAAGAGGGGTTTTCTGAGGAAGCTGGACAATCCATCTACAATGGTGAGTGTGGGCGCTGCTCTATTGTCCTTCTGCCTGATGGTGACACAGTCATAAAATGCCTGATTTTCTTTAAAGTGAATCTAAGGACCATTTCATTGTCATAAGGCAGTCACCAGATTCAAATGAAAATGCTGGCTCAAACCCACTTGTTTATTAATACTCAAAAATTCTCTACTGTTTGTGGTTCCCTTCTATGATGCTATGGGAAAAAGGCTTTCTAAAGTGTGTACATTTCTGAAGTATGTGTCCATGTGTATTGGTATACACCCTCTGGGTTTACTATTTGACAGGGGATTGCATACATGACTTATGACATGGGGCACAGGTTAGCTTTAGGTGACTATACGATTCTAAGTCAAATACAAATGTGATTCATGCAGTAGCATACATAAAGCAGGGAATAGTTTCTCAAGCATGTGGATACTAATATGATTGCGCCAGTCTGAGAACATATGTGGATGTTCAAGTTTATAGTTGTGTATCTGTGTGTACGTGTGTTCAGGTTTCAAACAGATTTTCTGTGACCTCGTCCTGATTATTTGATAGGGTTCTCCAGCCATGGGACCAGTTTTGAAGATGACTTGACACTTGGAGCAGAGGGTGAGTAGCACAGCTCTGAGGCTGTCATCAAAGAAGTGGCTATACATTGGATAAATTTAAGAATAGGATAGGAGGGGAGAACTTTAGAAAGAAGTGGTCTCTCTCTCTCTGGGATACATCTGTTGGGAAAGATCACCTCGTTATAATCTCATGAGAAAACAGAAAGCATAACGTGCCTAGAAACACACCCTCGCTATCTAGTCCTTTGGCCCCTGGGAAGAATACATAAAATTACCATATCATTTGATGCCCAGATATCATTGAAACTGTCTCTATTAGAAGCCCGAGTCCTAGGTTTAAGAAAAAGACTTTACTGCAGGAGGACAAGGGCTTGAATAAAGGATGGAGGCATAGGGCCAGGGATTTCACTCAGTGATGCCACCACCTGCCTTGCAAGCACAAGGTCCTGAGTTCAATCCCTAGTACCAAAAAGAGAAAGAAAGAAAGAAAGAAAGAAAGAAAGAAAGAAAGAAAGAAAGAAAGAAAGAAAGAAAGAAAGAAAGAAAGAAAGGGAGGGAGGGAGGGAGGGAGGGAAAGGAAAGGAGGAAAGGAAAGGAAAGGAAAGGAAAGGAAAGGAAAGGAAAGGAAAGGAAAGGAAAGGAAAGGGAAAGGAAAGGGAAAGGAGGAAAGAAAAGGGAAAGAAAAAAAAAGAATGGAGGGCAGAATCAGAGTCTGGAGCTGAATGACTCTCCTCCAGACAGCGGGGCTCTTGCCTACACATCAGCCATGGGTCTAAAGTTCAGAGGCTCCAGGCCAGGTGTTCTTATTTGTTCCCTTTCCCAAGCTTTGGAAAGACAAACTTGAGACCTCCCTATTGACAGAAAAATTCCTGGATTTCAGCTGGCCTCTAGGAGTGGCATAGGGAAACAGAGGGGCAGTGTCAAGTTCAGAGAAGAAAACTGAGTGACCATTTTCCCTTCTAACTTGTTCTTTATCTTTCTGTTCCTTGTCCAGCCGTACTGCTGGCTGCTAATGACAAACTCTTCTCCAGGTAAGTGTAAGGTTCAGCCAGGTTGAATGATATTTTCTTCAGAAGACAATGAACTGGAGTAGGTACCAGAGATTAAAAACAAAGAGCTAAAGCCAAATGTGGTGGTGCACTTTAACCGTGGCACTGCCTTGAATGCCAGCACTCTGGAAAGCTGAGGCAGAAGGGCTGCAAATTCTAGACTAGCATGGGAAACTTAAGGACTTAGCAAGATCCTATTTCAAAATAAAAAAGGCTGCTGGGGATTTAGCTCAGTGGTTCTAACTCCTGCCTCAAAATTAAAAAGGCTGAGGATGTAGCTCAGTGCACAGGTCCTGGGTAAGTCCCCAGTACCACAAAAGAATTCATGAAAGTGAAATTTTCTAACCGGCAATGAAGGCATGCAGTTTCCTCAGCAGGTGGTTGGTTCTAAGGTACTCTTCAGAGGGAAGCCAGGTGAAGACGGGCAACAAGATTTTATGACATCAGCTTCTACCTCCGCAGGAGTTTCCTCCAGACATCCAGACCTTGCCAGCTACTTGATCTTGGCTGTAGTTTGGCTTCCAGCTGCATGACTGGAGGAACCAGCAAGACCAGTTCAAGGTAGGTATTAAGAGGCAAAGGAGAAAGGAACTGAGAGCCATTGCCTAATTTTTCTGAGACAATCGTACTTGCGCTTACACTTGAGATATCTTACTTGAACTTTCTACACACACTGGAAAAATACAGGACCATATTTGCTTCAGGAATAGTGGGGGATGGACACAGAGGAATCTTCTTCAAACTAGGTTCTATGTATAAAATGCAGGTCTTCCCACTGAATCCTGTGCACCAGGAAGTGAAGCAATGATGCCAACAATCCTCGACTCATTGTAGGTACTCAATAAAAAATATGTTGATTAATCAACTAATGTTTACTTAATGAAGCAATAAAATATTATCCAATGCAGGCCAGATGAGAAATGTGTAGAATTTTAAAAGCTGAATCAAAGTCTTGCCACTAGGAGCCCATCAAATCCATAGAATGGGCAAGACTTACACATACCAAAAAAAATCTAAAACAAGGTAGGAAACAATGAAGATTATCAATTAGTGTGATATGATGAAAAGTGTTGGGAATTTGCAGTAAAAATCTATTAAATGACAAAATCTAGAGATCAGATGTAGACATCTGCATTTTCAAAAGCCCCACAAGGTGTCATAATATTCATCCCTGGTCATGAATCACTGAACCAGTCTTATACCCGAAATTCACAGATAGGGAAATTTAGGACTCTGGAGATAAATCCTGACAACACAAGTCAGGAATTTTAACCATCCAGCTATTAATTAAACCACATATCCCTGTTTGGATTTTTTTTATTTAAATTGAATTTATTGGTACATTCTAGGTAGACAGTACAATTACATTCATTACTGGGATCTTGTACCTTTACATGCCAGGTCTTGGTTCTCATTTTTTCCCCTTGTCCCCACCCTCCCTTCACCCCCTCCTCCCCTCCCCACCTTCAAACACTTTAATTCCATTTTTACATTTTCTCATA